TTAGTGGTAACATGGAATGAATAAAAATAATAATATAGTTGTGAGTGAAGCATTATACTTGGCTACTCAGCCTAGAATATCAAGTGTTTGACTTCTTATATTGAGCATAAGCTCATTACAGGCCCCTGTAAGTATACAAGAATCAGATGGTGGAGTGTACCTGAGAGTACTAAATAGACGGGATTGAATGATATTCTACTGAAGATCTGATTTTGAACTTGTGACAGCTGGCACCTATGTATTCCTGTGTTTAAAACAACAAAACAGAACCTGAGAGAGAGCTGTGCCAGAAACTTGCAAAGAAGGTGATGGGAGTCAACGAGAGAGAGAGCATTAAAGTGAACAAAGACACAGAGTCATTGTTAAAGGCAGTGGTAGAGAATCAATGGGAAATGTTGTGAAAGACGGAAATGTTGTGAAAGACAGTTAGGACCTGGAAGGGTACAGTGACCACGAGCAAGTTCTGCCTACCTGGATATAAAGGACTGCTTTTAGGAGAAGCACCAGAATTTCTAATGAGTCTTCAGAACTGTGCTTGTTTCTAAAGCTGTATAAGGATGTTTCAGTGGTCGTGTTGAGAACTTATTCTTACCCTTACATTGACCCTGGTATGTCACTAGAGGTCAACAAGTATCTCAGATGCAATGTAACTAGAAATAATATATATTAATATTTCTATGGAGAGATTTGTGGTAGAGTTGGATGAGCAGTCCAGCAATGCCCAGCATCTCGCATCACCTTTTAGGTTTTTCACAAGTGGCAAGATCCTCACTAGGCAGTGGCGAGTTGCCAATTGACAGTGATTATAATTTATTAAAGGTCTTACTGTTTCCACAATTTGCCCTATTAATATTCAGACACCAATCTTACCAAGCTCGTCAAAGAAGCCCAATGTCAGGAAGGCTCATTGTGGAAACCAAAGCATTTACCTGGCACCTTCAGATGACCACTTATTCTGAGCAACCTCCATATTGTGTACAACTGAAATGTAGCTCAAGGCACCATTCATGGACTGCAGCTACACACACCCCTCAGCCATTGATGTTGGCATCTGCCATCCATCAGGATCATCACGGCAATTCTCTGACGCACTGGCAGGCAGCTGTGGAATCACAAACCTACCTTACAGGGTGTACCAGCAACTAGCATTGAAAGGCTACAGAAAGGCGACAATGCAAAAGAATATGCACCAAGCTCATGGATTGGGCTAGGATGTGTTTCAAGGCTGCTCATTTGCTCTCTTAGCACTCACTTACTTAGAACCTACCTGTGTGCTTGCATAATGGACTCAAAATATCAACTCAGGTTCTCTCTGATTGGGTAGTTGCATAAACAGAGTTGGCCTGCCTGCGTCTACCTGAATTAAGTTCTGGGCAGAAACGCCCAAGATCTATATACCCAGCCACTTCTAGTTGAGGCCCTTAAATGATTAATTAATGATGAATTAAGGGCCTATTCCCACCTTTGCTGCAGGTATCTAAGCTTCAATAGGTTAATAAAAATCACCCTTCCTGCCTTGTAAACCAGTGCAGGCAGTTTTGGGAAGGTGGTCCCTTGATGAGCACTAATTTGTGCACAGTTGAGACATTAGACCTCTGAACCAAAGGTGGGGGAGGTTTGATTACTAATAGCCAAACCCCTGCTCTTGTTTCTAATCTCTCTACCCTACTTGGCCCACAAACCCAAACCGCAGAACATCCAGGCTGAATAGAAAACTATTATTTGATATCTTAGTCCTTGTGATGTTGGTTGTCTCCCGGCAGCCTCGATGGTCCTCTGGGGGGCACTGCCAAGTGCGAGAGTTGCAGGCCCTGGTTAGCTAGCAGCTCTCATTGGGCGCATCTCCCTGCCCGTGAAGTTGAATTCAGAGAAATGCCTGCCATTGCCCTCCAGAATGCCTCATGGGTGGTAGAAATGGCAGGCCTTGCTCTTCTGAGGCAGTTTGGGTGTCATGCAAGCTTTCCGTCAAGGAAGCGAGACAAAAACAAAAGAGTCAATCCACCAAGTGAAAACTTCAGGATTGCTTGTGTCCTGGGGGCCACATGTGTAAGAAGTATCTGAAAGTGCTTGAGTTCCGGATTTCCGGACTGGCGGGGCAGCTGGAGTCTTTGAGGAACGTCAGAAAGAATGAGAATTTCCTGTGTCATACGCTCCAGAAGGATCAGCCCAGGGGCAGTGAAAGTTCAGGTTAACAGATGGGTGGACTCTTGAAAGGGAAAGAAGAAGCAGGAATTAATAGATCTTTCAAGGACTGTGCCACTCTCAACCTTTACTTAGTAAGGAAGAGTGGTGGAAATGGCAACTTTTTTTTTCATAGAATCCCAACAGTGTGGAAACAGGCCCTTTGGCCCAACAAGACCCTCAGAGCATACCCCCCCCCACCCCACCAGACCCATCCCCCTAATCTACTCATCTCTGAACACTACAGGCAATTTATTATGGCCAATCCACCTAGCCTACACATCTTAGGACTGTGGGAGGAAATTGGAGCACCCGGAGGAAACCAACGCAGACACAGGGAGAAGGTACAAACTCCACACAGACAGCCTGAGGGTGGAATCGAACCCAGGTCCCTGGCGCTGTGAGACAGCAGTGCTAACCACTGAGCCACCGTGCTGCCCCAACTTCTTGAAGAATGCAGTCCAAACTATATGTAGACAGACAAGAGATTGGAAGAACACAGCAGGCCAGGCAGCATCTAGAGGAAAGAAGCAGTCAACATTTCAGGTATTACCCTTCTTTAGGTCTCAAACTATAGCTTTACTTTGCATAAGAATGCACAGCAGGGAGCAGCAAAATTTAAACATCCAATCCTTGTAGGGGTTACTTAGGAGCAGGCAAGAATTTCTGTTGCCATCACTGTGAGTCTCTCATGGCCTATGCCTCCCTGCTGTCAAACTAAAAAACATCACAGAGAAGTCGCAGAATGTTCTGCAAGAGGAAGTGAGCCAGATATAGTAAAATGCTTCAGTACCAATCAGACAGAGAGGACTGACATTGAGGTCCTGTGGTCAGAGTTTCCTCATTCGGCCACTGTGTCAAAGCTGAGCAGCGCGGTTTTCTTGCCAATGGAAAGGAAGATGTGAAAGACCAAAGAAATGTTCAGGCTTTCAGCCTAAATCCCTTCTCTACTGTAAAGAGGTTTCTTTGTGAGATGAACCAATGTGCATACAAAGGCTATATAGCCTTAAAAGAAGTATTGCTCCATTGTTTCTTCAGTTCCCAAAAATGCAAATAACATAGATTGCTATATAATGAATACATCAAAGTGCCTTCCTGGACAAGGGCCTTAGGCATGCATAATAATAAAGTGGGTCATTGAAGAAAAATGGAGTATGATGTTTTGGCTACTTAGTTATTCATGAGGCTTATCTGAGGTGCCCTGTTGGCCATGTGGATGTTAAGTGCAATTCTTTATATTTGGAAATTCGTTCCAAGGTCAATCTTCTGCATCATATCCAGTTAATCCTTTTCTCATTAGTGAAAGTGCTGAAATATATTTTTGAAAATAATTACTGTACTGCTGGCAAAGAATGTTGTACTTTTGGCTAATTTTGGATTATCATATTTTTAATTTGCTCTGCATGATTTCACTAGTAGAATTTAATGTCTGAGCAAGTGTGTGACTTCTCAGGTGATTTAAAAAATCGTTATTTCATTTTAAAAGTCTGAAAAATGTAGTTTTATAAGGTCTGTTCCCAGCTCTATAATGAACAGTGCAAACAGAAGAAGAGTAAATGAAATTGATACAAAAGGATTGGTTAATTTGAAAATAATGAAATCTAAGATAATAGCTAAATTTGAGAAAGAATGGAACATAAAAGTTGAAAATGATGAACATGGCAACCATAGAGAAAACCTTTTGTTTCAATGTGAAATAATGTTTAGGTGTCTGTCATTTTGAGATTGTAAAACATTGCATCTGTATTGCTGTAATGCTAATTATTGCAGAAAGGCAGCATATAAGCTATAAACAAATGAAACCTGTCAATCAAGAGAGACAAACATTTCACCTAGCTTCCCAGCAAGTTAATAGTTAGTTTTAAAAATAAAAAAAAACTGCCTTGACACATTTCTTATTGGGAGTGGCAATAAGGATGTTGGGGGAAAAACGCCTTAGACCTGATGAGTAATGGGTGGGACATAATGTTTTCTAAATTACTTGATTGTGCAGCTTTCATACCAAGAAAAGCAGTCAACGAGTCAAGAACCACTTGAGTAAAACATAAGATTAAATAGCTATTATGGTTTTGTTTGCTTTAGTTTCAGAAGGTAGAATGTTCCCACTTGTCCCACTTTTCAATGTGTTAGGGTAATTCCGTGACCAAAGCTACCAATATAGATTCAAACTGGCAATCGGTTGAATTAAGTTGTGATAATAGATATTGGTGTCTTGTGATATTGTAACTGTATTGCAATTAAAGTGGACTTCCCTTCTTTCAATTTCTTACGTTAATGCATTTGTAATTTTCCAGGATCTAGTTTTAAAAGTTGCTGCTCATTTCAATAACTAAGTTTGGTACAGCTGCATAATTTATGAGTTTTTGCCTCTAGATTAACTTGGAAATGTCACTTTTACAGGCGGTTCCTATTTAGTATAACTGTAGCAAAGTCTGCTTTGACTTCCAGAAAAAATAACAGAAATGTGATGATGCCAGACTTTTTTTTAGGAAAAAGTGAGCCATGTGTATAAATACATTAATATAGACTTATAAACATTATGATATATTTCTGTTTTAACTTTGCTGATTCATCTGAATAATTTAAAAAATATTTTCAAATATGAATCCATTATTTTTCTCCCTGTAGCTATAAAAAAGTTATCAACCTGCCCCCAGCAACTAAACAAGGAAAAATCTACATGCAGAAATTCATATTGCTACAATATATTTAACAGTCCTACGCAACATGCCTTTTCAACTTTAGCTGCTCATTTAAACTAGTAACACTCACCGCAAGGCAAGAATAATCCTGTAATTGAATTTTCAATTTTCTTTCAGATTTATCTGACCATCTAACTCAACTGCCAGTTATGAACGGGAACATACAGTTAGGTTCAACCACAAGGCATCAGCATGTTTCAACCATTTCTCAGGCCAAAAATGTACCACCTAATAGAAAACAAACCACCGAGGCATCCTCAAAACAGACTCTTAGGCAGCTTAATGCTTCAGTTTCTTCGTCAGTAAATGATTTGCAGAAGGTACCTTCCTCAGGAAATGAAAAAAGCTTATCCAATGCAAATAGACCAGTGGAGGAAGTGAAATATCACAGTAAGACTTCGAAAAATGCTACGCAGAGTAGAGCTGAGACTTTTTTGAACAACGAAGGGCAGGATAGTTCATTAGAACTTGGCAACACTGAATTGTGCAATACTGAAACAGAGACTGCAGGACCTGCATACAACAGTCCACGGATATCACAAAAGGGAATTCTTCACTCTCTGAACAAGACGGCAAGCATGCAGAAGGCAGCATCAAGAATCCCAGATAGAGGTCAAAAAGAGGAGAAGAAAGATAGCAACGGAATCAATTCGAGAAGAAAAGTTGCTTCTACAAAAGGCTCTCGAATTGCAGGCTTGACCCACACAAGGAGCAAAGTTTTGGACGATGTGCAAAAAGGCGTTGCAACTCTTCCTCCCAGGGGAAAGTGTAAATCCAGATTCAGTATTTCAAATGATAATTTGTTACATCTGTCGAACTGTGGAGGTACAGCAGATAGAGAGAGACCTAAAAGCGCTTCAAGCCAAAGGCAATGGAAATCGGATGTTAGTTGGAAATCCTACAGTTTCTCCAACTTACTTTTAGATGAGAATGAAGATGTTTCACAATTGTCTGTCTCTTCCGTTTCTTCTCCTAAACGCACATTTACTGGTGGAGTAAAAACATCTGTCAACAGCAATGTTATTAAACTTCCTTCTCCAACACAAAATAGTCATCCTAACACAGCAACAGTGGCTCCTTTCATGTACAAGTAAGTTTTCTTTCAACATTAATTGTACTTATGAAAGTGTACAAAGTTGCAATTCAAAAAATAGGAGCAGTCAGTTGACCCTTCATAGTTCATCCATTTGCAATTAGAAGGGTGATGGTACAGAGTCAACTTAACCTGTACTGTCTGCATACTGCCAAGTTTAATCCATTATAAATATAACCTAATTGTACTCTGACATGACTTCATAGATTTGGTATGGCATCAGATTGGTGCAGTGTTACATGATATATTTGAAATGGAGAAAGAACTCTGTAGACATGATTTTTTTCGTAATTTACATGTGTTCTTTTTCCTAATTTGGCCATTGTTTAGACTTCTAGACAATAAGTTGGCCTGTACTCAAACCTCTAACAGTATAGGGTGCTTAAAATGAGGGGCACAAGGATAGTTGGAAAGCCTTTCTATCTGGTGGTGAGTTAATGACCCTCCATAATCATGAATGACATTAAGAACCGATTGTTGGAAATCTTACATGTTGCAGCACAGATCATTAACGAGTAACATGCTACATGGGCAGATTACATCTTATTGTGTTTTTACCTTAACATACATAGTAATTTGAATGTAATGTGGATGAAAGTTGCTTATTTGGATATAATGATCAAATTGCATTTGAGTTTCAAGAGTAAGAAAAATGAGACTCAACATAGTTAATGTGAACATGTTCCTCAAAATCATCAATGTGCACCAGAAAGATGTTAATTGGAGAATTCTTGATTTTGATATTTACCTTTGCGATATGAAGATAAATGTAAACTGGAATGTTTAGTGAAGTATGTAACCATTTCTCTACAAGGTTGACTTGAAGATCACATCAAACTGTTTCCTTTTGATTGCTCATGAAACAATAAGACGTGGGCAGATAGTTATAGCATCATAGAATGATGCAGATAACAAGGCGTGGAGCTGGATGAGCACAGCAGGCCAGGCAGCATCAGAGGAGCAGGAAAGCTGACGTTTTGGGTCGGGACCCTTCTTCAGAAATGGGAGAGGGGAAGGGGACTCTGAAATAAATAGAGAGAGGGGGAGGCGATGATAGAAGTTGGATAGAGGAGCAGATAGGTGGAGAGAAGACAGACAGGTCAAGGAGGCAGGGATGAAGCTAGTAAAGGTGACTGTAGGTAGGGAATTGGGATAAGGGTTGGTCAGTGAGGAGGGAGGGGCGGGTAGGTGGAACAGAAGATGGACCGATCAAGGAGGCGGGGCTGAGCCTAGTAGGTAGGAAGTGGGGGTGGGGGTTGGTCAGTGAGGCAGGGGGAGCGGATGGGTGGGAGAAAAGACGGACTGGTCAAGGAGGCAGGGACGAGATGGGCTGCTCTTGGGATGAGGTCGGGGGTGGGGAGATTTTGAAGCTTGTAAAGTCCACATTGAGACCATTGGTCTGCAGGGTTCTCAGGCGGAATGTGAGGTGCTGTTCCTCCAGCCATCGGGTGGCATCGTTGTGGCACTGGAGGAGGCCAACATGTCGTCCAAGGAGTGGGAGGGGGAGTTGAAGTGGTTCACGACTGGGAGGTGTTGTCGTTTGTCACGAACCGAGCATAGGTGCTCCTATCATAGAATGATGCAGGATAAGATGGAGCCATTTAGCCCATCATGCATCTGCTTGCTCTTTAGTAGAACCAGCCAATGAGTTCCACTTAGAGTCATAGAGTCATACAGCATGGAAACAGGGTCTTCAGCCCAAACTGGTCCATGCTGACCATGGTGCCCACTCAGCTAGTTCCAATTGCCTGCATTTGGTGCATATCCCTCTAAAACCTTACCATCCACGTACCTATCCAGATGTTTTTTAAATGTTGCTACTGTACCTGCCTCAACCACTTTTTCCAGCAGCCTATTCCGTAAATGCACCACTCTCTGTGTGAAGAAGTTGCCCCTCAAGGTCCTTCTAAATTCTTTCCCCTCTCAGCTTAAACCTCTGCTCTCTAGTTTTCAATTCCCCATTCCTGGGAAAAAGACTATATGCATTTATCCTATCTATGCCCCTCATGATTTTATACATCTGTTATTCTCCTACATTCCAAGGAATAAAGTCCTATTCTGTCCAACCTCTCCCTATAACTCAGGCCTACTAGTCCTGGCAACATCCTTTAAATCTTCTTTGCACCTTTCCGGTTTTACTATGTCTTTCCTATAACAGGGTGACCAAAATTGTACACAATATTACAAGTGCAGCCTCACCAACGACTTATACAACTGTAACATATTGTCCCAACTCCTATACTCAATGCCTGGACCAATGAAGGCCGGCATGCTAAATGCCTTCTTCCCCAGCCTGTCCACCAGTGACGCCGCTTTCAATGAACTATGTACTTGTACTCCTAGGTCCCTCTGTTCCACAACACTCCTCAGGACCTTACCATTTACTATATAAGCCCTACCTGGGTTTGACTTTTCAAAATGCAACACCTCACACTTATTTGTGTTGAATTGCATTGGCCAATTCTCAGCCCACTTCCCCATCTGATCAAGGTCCCTCTGTAATTTTTGATAGCCTTCTTCACTATCAACATTACCTCCTAATTTTGCACCATCCGCAAACTTACTAATCATGCCTTGTACATTCACATCCAGATCATGATGTAAATAACAACAAAGGTCCCAGCACTGACACCTGTGGCACACCACTGGTCACAGGCCTCCAGTCCGAGAAACAACCTTCAACCATCACCCTCTGCTACCTACCAGCGAGCCAATTATGAATCCAATTAGCTAGCTTTCCCTGGATCCCATGCGACCTAACTTTCATGACTAGCCTGCCATGTGGGACCTAGTCAAGGCCTTACTGAGGTCCTTTTTAAACAACATCTACTGCCCTACCATCATCTTACCTCTTACCTCTTTGAAAAACTCTAAAGGATTTGTCAGACATGACTTCCCTGCTGACTATCCCTGATCAGACCTTGACTATCTAAATGTTTGTTGATCCTGTCCCTCAGTATCTTCTCTAGTAGATTGCCTACCACTTTGCTGTAGGCTCACTGGCCTATAATTCCCCGGCTTGTCTTTGCTACCTTTCTTAAACAATGGAACAACATTAGCCACCCTCCAGTCTTTTGGAATTTCACCAGTGGCTAAAGATGGAGCAAAAATCTCTGCAATTTCTTCCCTACTCTCCCACAACGTCCGAGGATGGACTTGATCAGACCCAGGGGATTTATCCACCTTAATGTGCTTTAAGGCTGCAAACACTTCCTCTCTGGTAATGTGTATGTGGTCCAAAACATCTCTACTTGTTTCCCTTTTTTCCTTAGCATCCATCATTTTCTCCTCAGTAAACATTGAGGAGAAATATTCATTAAAAATCTCCCCCATCTCCTGCAGCTCCACACTTAAACGGCCATATTGATCTATAAGGGGACCTATTCTCCTCTTAGCCACCCTCTTACTCTTAATATAGCTATAGAACCTTTTAGGATCGTCTTTAACCCTATCTGCCAGATCCATCTCATACCCTCTTTTTACGCTTCTGATTTCCCGCTTAAGTGTGTTCCTACACTTTTTGTAGTCATCTAGGGATTCTTTTGAGCCAGATAGCTTAAACCCACTGTACGCCTTCTTCTTTTTCCTGACCAGAGCCTCATTAACCCTTGTCAGCCAGGGATCCCTAAACCTACCAGCATTTTTCTCTTCACCCTAACAGGGACATACTGTCCCTGGACTCTTGAAATCACACTTTTAAAAGCCTCCCATTTGCCAGTTGTTCCTTTTCCTTCAAACACACCCCCCCAGTCGACTTCTGCGAGATCCTGTCTAATGGCCCCAAAATTGGCCCTGCTCCAGTTTAGCACCTTAACATGTGAACCGGTCCTATCTTTTTCTATAACTATGTTAATACTAAGAGAGTTATGGTCACTGGAACCCAAGTGCTCCCCGACAGACACTTCAGTCATTTGCCATAAGGGGAGGTCCAGTGTTGAACCCCCCTAAGTAGGGTCCTCTACATATTGATTTAGGAAACTTTCTTGGACACATTTGAGAAATTCCATCCCATCTCGGCCTTTTACACTTTGGGTTGCCCAGTCAATACAGGGGAAATTCAAATCTCCAAACAATACAACTCTATTATTTCTATAGGTATCTGCAATCTCTCTATACATCAGCTTGTCTAGTATGCGCTGGCTATTTGCGGGTCTACAATACAGTCCCAACAGAGTGACCATCCCCTTCTTGTTTCTAAGTCCTAACCATATAGCTTCATTTGATGACCCTTTAAGAATATCCTCTCTGAGCACTGTTGTTATATCATCCCTTATGAAAAGGGCAACTCCCCGTCCTTGCTTACTTGTACTTCTGTCATGGCTGTAGCTTCTGTATCCTGGAACATTGAGCTGCCAGTCCGGCACTTCTCTCAGCCATGTTTCTGTTATAGCTATAATATCCCAGTCTCCAGAGCCAATCCATGCTCTGAGCTCATCTGCCTTACCAGACAGGCCTCGTGCGTTGAAATAAATGCACTTTAAACTAGAAGTCTTTTCCTTCCCTTTTCTGTGCTCCTGGCTATCCTGAATCATAAATTTGCTCTCGATGGTTAACGTATTTTCCCCTGACTTCTCGATGGCCCCTCTTTATTCAGCATCCCACCTCCCTGCCAATCTAGTTTAAACCCTTCCAGGTAACTGCAGCAAATCTCCCCACAAGGATATTAGAACCCCTCCAGTTCAAGTGCAACATATCTCTCTTGCACAGGTCACCTCTACCCCAGAAGAGATGCCAATGATCCAAGAACTGAAAACCCTGCCCCCTACACTAGCTCCTCAGCCATGCATTCATCTGGCCTATCTTTCTATTTCTATCCTCACTAACGCGTGGCACAGGAAGTAATCCGGAGATCACTACCCTTGAGGTCCTGCTTTTTAACTTCTTACCTAACTCCCTATACTCATTTTGCAGGACCCCATCCCTTTGTGCACTTTGGTACAAATGACGTAGGTAGACAATGATCTCTGGCCTTTCACCGTCCCCCTTAAGAATGTTTT